GTTCTTTGCGTGCTACTCACTACGAAACTACTTCTCATTTGTCTTCTATCCATACATTAGGCGAATTAAAAGAGAAACAACAAAGTGATCGTCATTTTGAGCCAAGAAGTAGTCGAATGAAACTACGACGCAAGACAAAGTCAATCAAACTCTCAAAACAAGGGCAACGAACGTTAGTGGAACTGTGGAGAACAAATGAACAAGCAAATTCAATCGAGTGAACGATTTCTCGTACGAAGCATTGCATTATTCAAGTACAAGACAAGGTTAAGATCGTTTCAATCTATGATGCGATACAAATCGAAGTATCTACACAATGTCTTGTTGAAATGCTTGGTCAAACACCTGAAGAAGTTGATCAATGTCCTTTTCATCCACAACAAGCGGTGGACAAAGACGAATTGTACTACATGACACAATACATTGCAATGAGAAAGAAATTCAACCTCAAATGATATCATAAATGACGTACTGTTCACCCGCTGAAACAATAAGTACTTGTTTTGATAGTGCATACGCTATGAGTGGACCAACAGGTTTATGACACTCAAAGCAAGGAAGAGTCCACCTTTTCCAATGGGTTTACGAACATCAGCAATTTTTCTTGGATACTTTTGTTGTAGTTTTTCCAATCCATTTGCCAAGTATCGACCACGCTTTTGTACGTTAGCTAGAAACTTGTCGTCCATGATTTTTGCAAGTACAGTTTGAGCTACAGCACAGACAAGTGGATTGCCACCAAAAGTCGTACCATGCTGACCAGGAGTGATGGCTGAAGCTACTTTGTTGGACATTAAAACTGCACCAATTGGTAAGCCACCAGCTAATGGTTTGGCTAATGTCATGATATCTGGTGTCACGTCGTACAGTTCATGCGCAAATAATTTGCCTGTGCGACCCAATCCACATTGAACTTCATCCGTAATAAGCATAGCATTGTATTTATCACACAAAAGTCGTAACTCGCGCATAAATTCTGGATCTGCTGGATACACACCACCTTCACCTTGAACAGGTTCGACAAAAAT